TTGTTTTTTGTTTTTTGTTTTTCTTTAACAAGTTTGTTTCTTTAACAGCAGCCTATAAAACCTGTTTTGTTTTGGTAGCATTTGTGCTTTGGTGTGGAAGTGAGAATTTTAAAGTTTTTTAAGTTTAAATGTCCATTTTACATTTAATACTACTTTAACTGAGGTAAAAACATGGAAATATTTGTGGATRTGACCAAAGTTTCATCAAAATCTGACATTTTATGAAGGTTGTAACATAATTCATTTGTCTGTGGACCAAACCTAACCTATGTGTTWAGTCTGCTCCATCAGAACCTTCATATTTTGATATAAAACTCAGAGATTAAATCCTGGGGTCTTTGTGTTCCTGCAGGCTCTTCTTCATAGAGCGTTGTGGAAACACGTCAGAGGATTTGGGAATAAATGTTGTCTGTGTGGTTTTGGCAGCATGAGGACTTGGGGTCTACACTGGGGGTTGTGGGGTTAAAGGGCATGGAGGATCATGAGGTGAGGGTCTTAGGTTGCATCAGAGTTTGACTGTTGACCTTTCCTCAGAGGGTTTTCAGAGGGTCTTAAGTGGCATTGAATAGTCAGAACAATATGTCTTTATCTTCAAAGACTGGGCTGCTCACTTTATTTTACAACAGTTTAAAAACATTTTAAGATGTAGAAATGGTTCATTTGTTTTATAGCTGAACATCTGATGATATTCAGATGTTAGTCAGTCATTCCTAATTGATTTACAAAGTTCAGAGACCATTTTTAAATATATTTTTGTGTAATTTTTTTTATATATTGCTTGTCTAATAGCAGTGAGTGATCATCTGTCTGTTAGTAAAATATCATGATTCACAGGACAAGTTTAATAAAACTTACAGAAAGTAAGTCAGCGCCATTCAAGGTGGCTGCCAGYCAATCAACCTTAAACACAAATATCTCTCTATCTCAGTCAAATKTACAAATATTGAGCTAAAACTTGGTGTGGTATGAGCGAAGAATCACCTCTAACACACACTGAGCACAACACACACTTCCTGTATTTTGATCAGACAAAGACAAACTTTAAAGCATTTAAATTTAAATGTTTTGGGGGTCTGACAGGAAACCATAGTGAGCAACCTGACCTTTAACCTTTGAATTACTGGACAGCCCTCTTCAGCCACACTTTATCTCCTCCATTAATTCATGTATTAATGAAAATGTGGTACTATCAGAACCTGRTCAAGTTCTTACAAAGGGACCAATGATTCTGACCTCAAACATGAGTGAGTTAACCTTTTAACTAGTCAGCAGGTCAGGAGTTGAGTTCCTGCTGTAATCACAATGTTTTGTTTTTTATTTTATCAATTTATTTGACAGTGACAATGCACACAGACATAGAAAAGAGCAAGTCTGTAACTGATGTGTTGCACATTAGAGTATATAGCTACAGCTAATTCACAACTCCAGTCCCTGGGATATGTTGTTCTAMACATAAATCTGTTTATTACTGTTATTTTATTTCAGCAACAATACTATTAATATCTGTTAAGCTGGCCTAAAATTGACCTGACATTGACCGGTAATTGACCTAATGTTGGCCTGTTGATGATGATGATCAATGCTGATGTAAAGTCGGCCTGACATTGACATGATGTTGGCCTAACACTTACATAAAATTGGCCWGAARCTGACCTAATGTTGGCCTGACRTTGACCTAAAGTTKTCTGACAATGACATAAAGTTGRCCTGACATTGAMCTATAGTTAATTTAAAGTTGTCCTAAAGTTTGCCTGGCGTTGATGTAAGGTTGGCCTGATGTTGAYGTAAAATTGACCCTAAAGTTCACCTGATGATGGCCTAAAAGTGGCCTGATATTGACATAAAGTTAGGGTGACATAATTCTAGTTTACCCTAAGTTGGTCTTACATTGATGTAATGTTGACCTAACGTTAGCTTGACGTTGACTGGATGTYGCTCTTATGTTGGCCTGATGTCTGYCTAATGTTGACATAAAGTTGGYCTAACATAGTCCKATAGTTGGCCTAAAATTGATCTAAAATTGGCCTGATGTTGACCTGAAATTAGCATGATGTTGGCCTAATGTTGACATAAAGTTGGCCTGACATTGACCTAATGTTGTGGTTTCTTTAAGTAGGGACAGTGCACATTATAGAATATGCCAGGATTAGCCATGAAGGCTAGTTTTCATCTATAGTCTCTCAAGGTCCCATAGATATAAATACAATACATACAAATTAGCAAGAGTCTTTAATTAAAAAAATTACTAAAAACATAACAAGCACCTTGATTAAAAAAATCCATTTAGTATAACAATAACATTTTGAAGCAATACATTGAAAATGCAGAATTCCATATTCAGTATCTACACAAKTGATTATCCAGGAGCCATGATTTTATTTGAGAATAATTGGAAGGGTCTATAGGTTCTCATGCTTTCTGATATTTTATTCCAGTCAAGTGAAGCTTTTACAGAAAAAGAGTTCTGACCACATGTACTACRTCTAAGAGGTACAACAAGATATCCTCTTACAATAGCTGTGATGGTCCTTACCAACAACGACGTGACAAGTGCTTCAAGTGGAGGAGGTGCAGTGCAAGACTATGCAAAATTTTACAAACCAGACAAACATTTACAAACATGCTCATATTTTCCCAACTCAACAAATGCTGTTTTGTCAAAATCTTGCAATGATGATATCTTACAGGCTTTTTAATCTACGATCTTTATTGTCTGTTTATAAAATATCTCCACAGGCTTTAGAGTTGATGAGTTTGCTTGTCCCTACCTTGTTAAACAATGAGTGATGTGAAAAAAATCATACCATTCATAAATGTTTTTGCAGCCAAGTTAGACAAACAGAATCTAACATGCCTACAATTTCCAAGGTTAAATTGAAGTATTTTTTGCTATCTTCTTGACATGAGGCTTGAATGATAAATTTGTATCAAACAAAATCCCAAGATATTTAATTTGTTTGACCAAGGTGATCTTCAGTCCAACAATAAATATGTCAGGGTCAGGTGTATTTTCTAGTCTTTTGGTAAAATACATGCCAACTGTTTTAGAAACATTTAATTGAGGCAGACATGCTTAAGCCAAGTAGCTATTTGTACAATTKCATCTKTTAGTTTGGAAGCAACTTGATGTTTGTTCTTGCCATKWACATAGATGACAGTATCATCTGCATATAATTGGATATCTACACCGTCACAGACCAATGAGAGTTCATTAACGTATAGGCTGAATAACACCAGTCCAAGTATGGACCCTTGTGGGACCCCCAGTAGATGAGTGCCTGGCTGTAGAACTTAGAACTAATCCAAACAGGTTTCTGAGAAGATAAACTTATATAATATAGAGAGGACCTTTTTTAGGGGCAGCTGTGGYGGAGTGGTTAGGAGAGTCATCCTGTAACTGGAGGGTTGCTAGTTCGATCCTCTRTTCCARCCATTTCAGTCGTTGTGTCCTTGGGAAAGACACTTGACCCGCCTTGCCTACTGATGGTGGTCAGAGGGTCCCGTGGCGCCGGTGCATGGCAGCCCCACCTCTGTCAGTGTGCTTCAGAACAGCTGTGGCTACAACGTAGCTTACCACCATCCTCATGGGGCTTGATAAAGTGCTATATAAGTTCAGTCCATTTACCATTTATGATTTACAGTGTCAAATGCTTTTCWTAGATCCAAGAACACTGCCCCAACAACACCGCCTTTATCTAAAGATGTTTTAATTTTCTCAGCTAAGTAGCAGTTAGCTGTCTCAGTTGAATGTTTAAGTCTAAAACCAAATTTCATCAAATGTCAAGATTTATTTAGGTATTRGGTAGTATTTAGGAGTCAGCACCAGTCATTTGCWTTTATTACCTTTTCAAAACGTTRCCATTCATTATGAGGAATTCTWAGTTGTATTAGTTGCTTGGGAGGAYGTAGGTGTGATCWTTTTTTGGTTAGTTTTTGAGGGATTGGTGTCAGGTTATGATCTGATAATCCAGTACTCATATTGAATGTTTTAGTTACTCGCTCAGGT